GAGTGAAACGGGAAGGCTCCCTCCCAGCTTGCCCGGGATGCTGCAGTCGGGATGGCACAGGCACGGGCAGGGATGTCCTTGAGCACCTACCTCTTTGGGCAGAAAACTGCCATTTCCCATCCCTCATCCAGCAGAATATGTTTTCTAATTAAAACATATTTTCAAATATTCTATGTTTCTATGTTTTCTAATAAAATTTTACAAATTAAACACTAATTGTGAGTAACTATGTTTTCTTGCCACTAAAGATATCAATGCAAATGCTTTCAACAAGCTGCTTAATTTTTTTAATAGAGCAATTTAGGACTTAATTATTGCTTGAATTTGCATATAAATAATTATCTCGATGTCAGGCTGCTGTGAGACACTAGTGTTAAGGTGCTATTTTCTTTATAAGCTTTTGAGAAAACATACCAAGTACATTAGCACTGGACTGGAGAAAGTGTTGTCTTTGATAACATTCCTCATCATTATGAATGCCAAAACAGACTCCTTTTCTGTGTGAATAGAACAACATTCACTCCATCCCATTCCTCCAAGCCCAGATCTTTCTTATATCATATCAGGGATTTTGCTGCAATTGATTAATTACAGCTTTGGTAGCTATAGTGAATGAGAACATCACTTTCTTATCAAACACACCTGCTTGATTTTGCAGAACATCTGGAACCCGTCCACTTGCTGCCACAGAGCTCAGGCTCCTGATTATTTGTGTCCTCCTCCAGTTCCTCTTCAACAAATGTGGACTCAAAATAGAATTTGCCTGATTTGAACTGAGCATGCAAACATGAAAAGCTGCACATGCAATATCTGTCTGAAAAGAGTTAAATTCCGGCACAAGAAAGGTCAGTTTTAGACAAAACACCCATCCATGCTACTGATTCCTTGATTAGAGAAGCCTAAGTCACAGCACAAAAAGGTCATTCCTTCTCTTCTAACTTTTCTTTTCTCACAAGAAGTCTCTTATGTGAGATTTAACCTGTCAGACTTTCAACCATGTCATTAGCAGAGTTTATTAATGATAAATCAGCAGCTTTTGGTTTTTTCCTCCAACTTGAAAAAGTGCCTTTGTGCTCCCAGCCCAAGCTTCTTCCTCACCTTCAGTCACACCCTGGATCTGTTCAACAGTGCGCAGTTCCCTCAGCTCCTTGAGCTGCCTGTAGCGTTGGATACCTTCTCTGAACAGCTTGCACTGGCTCCCTGACCCACAAGCATCTAATTCAAGTGCTACTGGCAGGAAGCGACACCAGGCTGGGAGAGCTCAGAAGATTATTCCACCGTTTGTGGAATTCAGTAGTGGGGTCCAGTTCTGCCAGCAGCCCGACATGTACCATAAAATACAGATTAAATTCATAAGTGCACATCTGAAAGGAAACTATATGCCCAAGGGATTATTTATATGAGTACATGCACATGGATGACTGTTAGAATAATGCAGATAATTTTGGGAGCTACTATTAATCTCTCATAATTTCTGGTTTGCTGACATCTGTCTGCCTGTTTCCAAGTCAAGGCTTTCTAAACTCAAGTCACAGGGCAAGATGGTAACATACAGAGGAAAGCAATGGAAATGCTAATGATTTCTCTGTATTATTCACAAAAATTCCCGTACAGTTTCATGGCTAAATACCTAGCAACACATTCACAGCAAATCTTACAAGCAGGCTGTGATCGGTCAGCAAAGAAGGAGGGAAGCAAAGAAATCCATTCTCTGTGGTAAAGCAACATCTGTCTCATCTATGCTGATGAGAAATTATTAAGTTAATTACTGTACAAGTCTAATTTCCCCCTTGTTAATGCTATCTGCAATCAAGGAATAAAGACACTTCCTTCGTACAGAGTCTTGGTACACATACGGCTGACCTAGCACAGTAAATGAAGCAGAGAGGTCAGACATCAGCAGACCAAGGTGGCAAAGAGGAGCTTGTTGCCATGCAGGAGCTTGTGAGCATTCACACGAAGAGCTCTCTTTCGCAGAAACCCCAATCTAACACCCAGTACATCTACCTAATTGAACCTCTACCAAGACAACCAGCGTCTGAAAGAAATAGGCCCCTTCTAGGCTGAAAAATACCAGATAAAGAGTAGTCTTGCCCTTGCTACCCACCTCCACAGCCTCCTCCACCTGAGCAGCTCCCACCCTCGCCTGCGGTCTGCCAGCTGCTCCCCCCGAGCCCGCTGCCAGCCACCCCAGAAGGGACATCTCCTCTCATCCCCTTCCAGAAAGGTGGCATAATGCACTCTGTCCTTCTGACCATAGCGCATAAACTGAGCGTAGATGGGGAGAGGGAAAATAAACATAAATAAATAATCTGATGCTCCCTATCAACCCTCTCTTCCTCATTTTTCGTGTTTTTGTTCTTTCAAGGTGTATGCTTCTTACCTGGAACAGTTTCAGTCCTAGCAGGAAAGAAATGAAAAAGGACTTTTCTTCAGCCACACGATAGTCTACGGTGCTCTCAAGGCAGTGAGATACCGCAGCTGGGGGACAGATACTCCTATTTTCTGCGAGTTGTTATTACAGCAATTTATTTCTGGTGCTAGGCTACAGAGCATGGGAAGATAGGCTCAGTATTTGTAAAATATTTTTTAAAACCCTAAATTGCTATGCTGGTCTCTGAAGTCAGGGTAGCTTAACTGCCGAGCAGTATGATAGTCCCTCAAGAACACACTTGGCACTTGGAATATCCTCCCACCACTTAAGATATAGGCTAACAGAAGCTTCTTGTTCGCTCCAAAGCCATCTGTTCAGTAAAGCAACCTCCTGACACCATTAGGAGCTGCTTGTGGAAATAGTGTCCTTATGTCACCTTTGACCCGTAGCTGTGGCACACTTCGCAAAGCTATAGAGATGACATCGGAGCCCAACACCGCTAAGCGGAGGCAGGAAGTATATCTTACCGTTCAACTCAAAAATTGACATTTATATTCAGATAAACTCCATCACACAGTCTTAGGTGTTCTTGCACTGCATCATTTGCAGCTTATTAAAATGAATTATGGAGGCAGAACTCCATAAAATTGGAGCATAAAATGCTCCAAATAAGCATTTAAACAAAAGCTTTAAGGAGTTGCTCTTTGTATTTCTTGTATAACTCTGAAACAGTTTAACACCATAATAAAGGCTTTTCATACTCTTCTATGTTTTAGAGAGAGCTTTAAAGGTGTTGACATAAACTGTAGTATAGCCTTTAGTGGCACAGTAGCATTTCTTTCCCCATCCCACATTACTCTCCTCACTGAACAGCCCTTTTTCTGGCAAGGAATTGAGACTATAACCTGCCTACTTCCAGGGTTTTTACTAGGTGAAAACACACTGATTCACAGTTTGGTTAACATCGCAGCTTTTTAAAATCAGAATATAATCAGGTACTCAAACAGCTGTGCCCTTCTTTTACAAGTATTACCAAAAAAAAAGGGAAATTAATAGATGGTAAAGATGGGAATTGACATTGCAACAAGAAAATTATGTTATACATCACTTCATGGACAAGAAATAAAAACAGAAACATCTTAGCAACACATACAGAAGTCAAGAACACAAGGCTGATTTTACTCCAGTGCCCTGCACTAAAGATGTTCTCAACTCCAAGACATCACAGGGGTCAGCACTAGCTAAGCCCAAACTGATACTGGAATACAAGAGCCTAGTTCAAAGGCAAAAGTCAGCAGGA